AGGTGTATTACTATTGCAAAAAAAATTCCCCAAAACAAAAACTAATTGCAAGTGTCACATGCAAAACATTGGAAGTGATTCTACCACCCAGTTTAGTACTGGGGAGGCCTTCCCTGGAATATTTTCTCCAGTTTGGGGCACTGCACTTCAAGAACAGCAGGGAGAAATAGGAAAGAGTCCAGAGGAAAGCAATAAAAGTTATTAGAGGTCTAGAAAGCACAACATGCCAGGAAAGAGTGGAAGTACTGGGATTATTCAGTCTGGGGTAGAGAAAACTGAGGAGAATTTGATAGCAGTCTTCAGATATGAGAGTTGTGATAAAAGAGATGATGTTGTGGCCACTGAGAGCAGGACAACATATACTGGGTGAACCATTTCCCATATTCAACAGGAAATTTAGGTTGGACATCAGAAAAACTTTCTAAATATAAAGGCATTAAGCATCTGAACAGGTTAACTAGAGCCGAGGTGTCAAACTCATCCGAGCCCCAGAGGCCAATCTATCAGCTGGACCAGCCTAATAGACCAGCCCTGGATGCCAGATCCAGCATGTGTCCTAGAGCAGCCAGAGTGGGTGCCAGAGGCAGCGCAGTCCTGCTTCAGCCACTCCAGGGCACATGGCAGCTGCTCCACCACTCTGGGGATGACCTGGGCCATCACGTCCTGTACGTTGCCTGTGGATCAGCTCTGAGACCCACAAGCAGCACTGGGACTAGATGGTAGGCCTCTGCCTCTGTCTTTGACACCCCTTATCTAGGGAGGTTGTAGACTCTCCACTGGTGGCAGCTTGTGACTACAGCTTGTACCAATGGTTCTCAGCTGGGGTGCTGTGGGGAGAGGAGTCCAGGAGAGCTGGCTATACTTTAAAGAAGCCTTACTGAGAGTGCAGGAACAAACCATCCCAATGCACAGGAAGACTAGCAAATATGGCAGAAGACCAGCATGGCTTAGCAGGGAACTCTTCAGTAAACTAAATCACATAAAGGAAGCTTTTAAGAAATGGAAACTTAGACAAATAACTAAGGATGACTATAAAAGCACTGCTCGGGCATGCAGGAATGAAGTCAGGAAGGCCAAAGTACAACTGGAGTTGCAGCTAGCGAGGGATGTGAAAGGTAACCAGAAGAGTTTCTACAAGTATGCCAAAATGGCAAACATAGTGCCCATATTTAAGAAAGGGGAAAAGGAGGATCTAGGGAACTACAGACCCATCAGTCTCACCTCAGTCCCTGGAAAAATCATGGAAAAATCCTCAAGGAATCCTTTTCTAAGCACTTGAACTTAGGAACGGTCAGCATGGATTCACCAGGGGCAAGTCATGCCAGACCAGCCTGATTGCCTTCTATGATGAGATGACTGGCTCTGTGGGTGCAGGAAGACTGGTAGATGTGGTATACCTTGATTTTAATATGGATTTTACCTTCTAATACAGTCTCCCACAACATTCTTGTAAGCAAGCTAAGGAAGTATGGGCTGAATGAGTGGACTGTAAGGTGGATTAAAAGCTGGCTGGAGCATCAGGCTTAGAGAGTAGTAATCAATGGCTCGATGTCTAGCTGGCAGCCGGTATCAAGTGGAGTGCCCCAGGGGTAGGTCCTGGGACCAGTTTTGTTCACTGTCTTCATCAATGACCTGGAAGATGGCATAAAATGCACCCTCAGCAAGTCTGCAGATGACACCAAGCCGGGGGAGTAGTAGATACGCTGGAGGGTAGGGCTAGGATTCAGTGACCTAGACAAATCGGAGGATTGGGCCAAAAGAAATCTCATGAGGTTCAACAAGGACAAGTGCAAAATCCTGCACATAGGACAGAACAATCCCATGCACCGGTACAGGCTGGGGGCTGACTGGCTGGGCAGCAGCTCTGCAGAAAAGGACCTGGGGGTGACAGTGGACAATAAGCTGAACATGAGCCTGCAGAGTGCCCATGTTGCCAAGAAGGTTAAGAGCATCTGGCTGCATTGGTAGGTGTGTTGCCAGCAGGTCAAGGGACGTGATTACTCCCCCTCTATTCAGCACTGGTGAGGCCACATCTGGAGTACTGTGTTCAGTTTTGGACTCCCCACTACAGAAAGGATGTGGACAAGTTGGAGAGAGTCCAGCAGAGAGCAGTAAAAATGGTTCAGGGGCTTATGAGGACAGGCTGAGGGAACTGGACTTATTTAGTCTAGAGAAGAGAAGACTAAGGGGGGGATTTAATAGCAGCCTTCAACTACCTGAAGGGGGGTTCAAAAGAGGATGGAGCTGGACTGTTCTCAGTGGTGGCAGATGACAGAACAAGGAGCAATGGTCTCAAGTTGCACCATGGGAAGTTTAGGTTAGATACTAGGAAGAATTTGCTCACTACAAGGGTAGTAAAACACTGGAACAGGTTACCCAGAGAAGTGGTGCAATCTCCACTTCCCTGAAGTTTTCAAGACCAGGCTAGACAAAGCTTTGGCTGGGATGATCTAATTGGGGCTGGTCGTGCTTGAGCAGGGGGTTGGATTAGACAACCTCCTAAGCTCCCTTCCAGCCCTAATTTTCTATGATTCTGTGATCCCGGGGTGACACGAAACCCCCTCAGGAGTGCTAATGTTCTGCTTCCTGCCCTGTCTGCTGCTGTGCTGCCTGTCCTCTCACTGGTGCCCCATGCCACATACACAAGCTGCCCATGCCACTTCCAGCATGAGTGCCACAGGTTGGCTCCCTCATTGGAACAGAATAGTAAAAGAAACGCAAGGAACTGAAAGCAGACGGCCAGGATAGTGAGAATCATTGTGCAGGTAGCCCACCTCTGACTGCGATACGCTAAAATGTTTCTTAGGGAAGGGGAATCATAGAGGCAGGCTCTCCACTGCAGACCTCTTTCTTGCCTATAGTGACTGATCTCTCATTGCAGGGTTGCATTTGAATATCTGGGAAATGACCCTAAAGAAAAGTGTCACCTTTTTGGCTCGTCTCCACTGCAGCACTAGCTCACACATTCCCTAATTGAACTCCTATTTATATGCAGTTTCTCCGTGGACCAGTGCTTTACACTTAAGATATCTAGCTGGCCCATGAGAGTGGCAGGGGGCATGAGAGGCAAGACAATTGAGCTGGCGAGGCAGAACTCAGCTCCTCCGAGCTGCTAATCCACCATCCTGTGAAGCCCAGTTCTTATTTTGCACAGCATCTGCTCTCCCGAACTAAATTAATGGAAGAGGAATTCACCAGTGTGGCTAACTCACATTAACTCCACTAAGACCAACGAAGGGTGTTTGTGCCCAAAAACTTGCAATTAAACATTTTTTTTTTTTTTTGCAAAAATCTTGTTGGTCTAATAAAAGATGTCGCCTCTGTCCACGAGCCCTGATTGCTCCACTAAGATGACACTTTAGGTCAGCCAGGCTGGGACAGGCCTGCAAGGCCGTGTCATTCAGCCCACGCGCAGCCTGGAAATTTGGCACCAGGAAGCAGCAACAGCGTGACTTTCAGTGCCTCACAGAGCTGAAGAAACTGTGTGTGGTTTGGGGTGACCCGAAAAGCATTTTTCCCCATAATCCCAGCCTCATCTCAGCTCCTTATTGAGGGCTACGTCCTTGATCCATGATACCATTTTACATACAGGTGCCCCTTGCTTTATGCAGGTTCTGTATGTGTGGATTTCCTCTTACAGGATGACCCTTTTTATACCAAAAATTAGTTATATGCAAGGTAAATACACTCTTATGCGATCACTGTGATGGAAGCCCAAAGTCGGCGGCTTTGTGCAGTGCATTGTGAGAGTCATGCACACCAAAATATAGTCTACTGTGGTCCTGGCTCACTGTTTGCGACACACGTTTCTGTAGTGGTCATCCCCATTACGATCATGCCCTGTGCTTCTTTGCGCTGTCTGCGAGTACCAAAATGGTCCTGTAAAAGTGGTAGAGTTGGTCAGTACAGTCGAGATCTTCATAGATTTCATAGATTTCTAGGGTTGGAAGGGACCTGGTAGATCACTGGGTCTGACGACCCCCTGCTCCAGGCAGGAAATGGGGATCTTGGCACGTATCCCTATTTGTTGCATTGTAAAGTGGGTTCCCTTTCTGCAAATTCCAGTTATGCGCCGTTTCTTACGAACACACATACGGCATAAGGCGAGGGAAACCCATATTTATTGGTGAATATACATTTTGGATGCCACTCTAACTCGTTCAGGGATGCACGTGGCAGCCGTGTCGGTCTGAGACAAAAAAGAAATGCAAAACTGGTTGCAAAATGATCCCTTTTATGGTGACCGCCGTGTGCCCCCAGAGGCTGGGGGGCAAGGCGACTGCCCGTTAGCAGCGGTGGCGGTGATGGCAGGGGTGTGGCGGCAGGAGCAGGGAGGTCCCGCAGGTGTGCCATGGTGGTGTCGGCGAGGCAGAGGTAAGCGCCGACCGACGAGCAGTCGGTGACCACCTGCAGACACTGCCGGTGGCTAGCAGCAGTTGGGGACTGCCCGCAATCCTGACAGCTTAAGCTCCTGATAGCTTAACTCTAAGTGCGCACGTGTAATCAGTTAATGAAAATGAATTAAAAGGAAAATCTTAGTCAGCGCCTCTTCCAATTTATGAAAAGTAATCAGATTGGAATTCAGTTTATTTGTAACGAAGTGCCCGTCCCCCATCAGCGACCGTCCCCAGCTGCCACCGGTGGTGTGGGCGGCACGGGGCAGATGCCAGGCAGCGCGCTGCCAGGCTCGAGGGGCGCACATGCACCCCTTCGCATCGCCAATGCCTTTTAGTCAACTGCCCGAGCCACTGCAACAACAAAAATCGATATATTTCTCGTTGCAATGTCTCAGTGCAATAACAGGTAGCCCTCCTGAACCCAAAGCTGCAGAGGTTTGCAGCTCTACCCCTGCTTCCCCTCTCACCGCCTTGCCCGGCGTCCCGATGAGCTTGCAAGCGAGGGCTGGCAACCGGCTCAGGCCCCGGGGCCGCCGCGGAGAACAACCCCGCCTCCCCGCCCCGCACTGAGCATGCTCGGCGCTCCCACATCCGTCCCTCCCTCCCGGCCCGGGGGCGGGGGCCGGGGTCCCGGTGCCAATGAGTCCCGCGCGGCCGGGCGCAGCCATGAACGCGGGCGGCTGCCCGGCCTTCCCCGGCGCCGTGCAGTGT